AATGATATCAATCAACTGAAAGAACAAATGAGCCAGATTCTAAAGATGTTACAGTCTATACAAGTGGAAAATGTAGAAGGGACCCCTCAATTAATCAGAGGAGAATCGTCAACTTCTCCTACGTATCTACCTGGTTTTACCCCAATCTCATCACAACCACAAGCTCTACATCTTAATAGACCCGGCCAACAAGTTGATCCTCCAAAGGTCCAATGGCCACCATATGGCCTTCCGCCCAACTACACACCTCCAACAATCATGGACCCTCCGGATAAACACCAACCATTGGTGAATCAGCCGCCTACACAGTCGCAACCTACCCAACGTGAGGTTTCACCCATGAATGTTGCCTCTTATAAACATCAAGTTCTCTACCAACCTCCTTATTTTTATACCCCTCACATGGCCTACCCAAATAGCACTGCCATCTCACCACATCCTCATCAACCTATCCATCAAGCTCTGCAAGTTTCACCCGCAACACCTACCGCACGACCACCTCAATTTACCCAGCCATGGAACCAAAACTCTAGCCATATGAGGTCACAAAATACCCAAGATTGGAAACCATTTGAGTTTGACCCTATCCCTATGTCCTATACTGAGTTGTTCCCTCTCCTACTACAATATTCACTAGTAGTACCTTGCCTGATGAAGCCCGTAGAACCACCATATCCTAGGGGATACGACGTTAATGGCAAATGTGATTATCATTCGGGAGCTATTGGTCACTCCCTTGAAAATTACAGAGCACTAAAAATTAAGGTACAAAGTTTGACTAAGGCTGGGCGGTTAAACTTTAAAGAGGATAATCCTAATATTGGGAACAACCCTCTACTAGGTCATGGAGGGTCGACAGTTAATTTCGTTGAGGGGAATAGATGGGGTCTCTATCAGTGATCTGCGAGAAATCTTTTGAAGTGCGTGGTCTTACCTCTTCCAAAGGAATTCTTGGGGATTAGATTTCCATCAATATATGTATAGGAAGGCTCCTTTTACTCCAGGAGTAAGTCTACCTAGACTTACTCCGTTCAATAATTCATGTTCTACATCAAATTTCAATAATCTAACCGTTCAATTTAAAGTTCTTAATGCATAGATCAAATTTGAAAATTTTTAGAAAATTTGAAAATCATTTAATACTTCGTTTCATTAATTCAAATCAATGTATAAAATAATTTTATGATTATCCGTCAATTTGAATTAATGAAATGAAGTATCAAATGATTTTCAAATTTTCTAAAAATTTGCAGATTTGATTTATGCATTAAGAACTTTAAATTGAACGGTTAGATCGTTGAAATTTGATGTAAAACATGAGCTATTGAACGGAATAGACTTACTCCAAGAGTAAAAGGATCCCTCCTTTTATATATATATATATATAAAAAGCTCATGGGATGGTAGAAAGGGTGAGACAAGAGAGAAAAAGAAAGAAAAGAGAGGAAAAAGAAGAAAAAAAAGGTTAAAAAGGAAAAATAATATAAAGAATTTCAAAATTCTTACTTTTTTTAATTTAAAATTTTATAATTTAATTAATCAAAATACTTTCAAATAATTTCTTTCCAAATTTTATATCTAAACAACATATTTTATCACAAATAATTTTAAATTTACTAAAAATATAAATTACCCTCTTAAATTTTTTTATCCGAAACACAAAACAAGAGTAATTCTATATCTTCATATTGATCTTACAAATTCTCCCACTACCTTATAAAAGAATATTAAATAGTAATTAAAATATTAATATTATATATATATATATATATATAATATTAATATTTTAATTACTATTTAATATTCTTTTATATGGTAGTGGGAGAATTTGTAAGATCAATATGAAGATATAGAATTACTCTTGTTTTGTGTTTCGATATGCATTTAATTTTTATTATATAAATAAAGTAAAAGAATTAATAATAAAAAACTATCCAATTATTCACAAATAATTCAGTGACAGCAATTTTAACTTAAACAGCTTATCATCGGAGAATCTGGTTTTGATTAATGCTACCAAACTTCAATAAGGGTAGGTTGAGGGCCCTACAATATTAGCCTTTTAGTGAAAATATTTATGAAATGATAACTTTAACACTAACTAGTCTAAGAAAAATGGTCTCGTACTAAGGATCAATTTTGAATATTGAGATCTATATAAGATTGATTTTTTTTAAGAAATATTTTTTTATACATATTTATAAAAATAAAAAATCTGACCACATGTTTAGTGAACAAAATTATCTATCAAATGTGACACACCTCATTAGTTATTTGGATTATTTAAATCATGATTAGGGGATTTTGTTGAAAAACTCTTATATTGATTTAGCCTTTACATTTCATGCAAGCTAAATTAATCAACAACTAAAATATGTATAAAAAAAAATAAAAAAAATATTTTTTATAAAAGATAATTTGGTAAATTCTTATACCAATAAATTGTTCATTAGTTCTCTTAGTTTCATTGTCTTGGCTCCAACTTTTAGTTATAGGGATGCGTATAAATTTTTAACTGCCCTTTCTGAATTTGTCAGAGGAATGTTATTATTATGTTGGTGAGGTAATTTCAGGAGAAGTCAGTGGAAGCCATGAATATTCTCCCCTTTCTACTTTAGGTAAGCTTTTCAATTATGTGTCCTTCAGTTATCGTTTAACATAAAACATCAATTATGCAACTTCGACAACTGATTGAGGGATCCACCTGCAAAACATTGAATAAGTTCATTGATAACATTTGAAAAGCCATATCAGAAAGCTGATTCAAAGATCCACCCGTAAAACATTCAACAAACCCATAGATATTGATAATGTTATAAAAAACATTAAATAAATTAGCAAGATATGTAATCATAATTCAGGTTGAATATGTAGTTAAATTATAATATCACGATTGAAATGATGTTTAAACTAGAAACATAGCTTCTTACTGATCCAACCGATTAAAGTGATTGATTCAACCTGAATTGTTAATCATCCATGATAACTGTATTTTGCAAGAGAATAATCACCAAAGCTATATCCTGGAATCCTTCGACACATGTTTCAAATGCTACAAACGAAAAAGCAACAATATATATTATTGCGGAATGTAGATTAAATTCATTTTTCACTGATTGCGATCCTATAAGAATAATTTAAAAATTTTATATACTGTAATACTTCATCCTTGCGTTTTTAAAAGTAGAGTTTAATTTTTTTTAATAAACAATATAATATTAATATAAATATAAAAACTTTTGCATTATCAATAAATATTTTAAGATAATTATTACGAATATTATTAAATTAAATGTATTAACAACCTATAATTGAATGAAAAATATAAATCTTTTATCTTATTCGTACATAAGGAGTGTTTAATAAAATTAATTTATAAGTTAACTGAAAACTTATAAACTATAAATTGATAATTAAAAAACTAAAAGTTGATTGAGTGAAAATATTTAATAAAATTAACTGATAAACTAGCTGATTAATATACAATTACATATTTACTAAATTGATAATGAGAATGAAAGAATAAAGATTCAGTCAATAGTTTTGAAATTAAAAAAAAAATAAATTCAAGTAAATTAATGAAATAAAAAAAAATAAAACTAAACTAAAAGCTATAAATTATAAAATTATAATTAATTTATAAAAATAAGTTATAAACTCTTAAAATAAACTATTATATCAAATAAACTTATTTTTCGTTATAACTACCTTATAAATTTCTCAAAAGCCCTGAAAGCACACTATATTATTATTGACTTGAAAAAATATCATTCTCTATACTCATTCGTATTAGTATCTTCAGTAGAAATAAACACTAAAATTGTTCTCTTTGGAAATAAGAATTATCCAACTTTCAAGATGCCTCTTGAAGTTATCCTTAGTAAGAGAGTGACTCAGCAGTGAACAGAGCATCGACCGTTTTAAAATAGAATATTAAAAAGCACGACAAAACCGACACATTCAAACATAGAGCACATTTCCTAAATGTATAATTGCCCTAAAAACCAAAAAAAAAAAAACATAAAACAAAACAAAATCTCAATTGAAGGAAACATGAGGGGAAAAAAAAAACCACAACCACAAAACCATCCATGCAGAGGCACACCAGTACAAAAACAGGACTCTGAAACAGATACACCAGCGATGTTCCAGTCTAGGTTACCAATCTTTATAAACATGTTAGCAACCTATTTGAGAACAAATCATTCACCACCCCCATTAAATTCTTCTATGCTGGTGGAGCTGATTCTTCTTTTGTACCTTGGGCTTTGCATCTCTTATACATCTTGTTCATCTTTCTTGTCAGGGTTCGTGACCTTTTCCAGCTCTTTCTCCGCTGATTTATCCTCACCAACAGTTAGTTTCTCAGTGATTGCGACCTTTTCCAGCTCTTTCTCCTCTGATTTATCCTCTACAACAGTTAGTTTCTCGGTGTTCGTGACCTTTTCCAGCTCTTTCTCCTCTGATTTATTCTCATCAACATTTAGTTTCTCAAGGAGACCAGCAGTATCTGAAGCATCCTTGTTTTCCTCCCCCTCTCCTTGTGATTCAGCAACTTCTTGCATAGTTGTCATGAAGGTCTTACAGTCTGGAGTCCAAAAGGAGAAGTTAAAATGTAAAATAATATAATAGCAATATAATTCAAAAATGTCAATTCAGCAAACCAAAAAATTACATTAATTTGTTAAGTGGGGTCTGTTACGATGAACTTTTCCAAAATATTTTTTTAAGAGAAAAAAAAAATATGAAAGAAGAAGGAAAATGAAATAAACTTCTCCAAAAATTAAAATAGCTTATATAAACTAATTTTGTATAAGTTAAATTTAGCAAATAGAGAAACTTATTTTATTTTATTTTTTATTTACTTTCCTGGATGTTCTCTTCTGAATGAGTTTATCCAAAATTGGACTTTTGGAAGCCTCTGTCATGATGACTTAACTTATTCTATTTTCTTATTCTGTTTTCTATTTGTATTTTTTAACTCAGTTAGGAGGTTAGGAGGTTAGTTAGTCATAGTTTGTTTTCTTAATTTTCTTGTAATGCTAGTCTTATTGCTCTGCCCAAGGCTTTAAGATTTATTTCTTTGAATAAGGGCTCATGTATTTCCTTTTAAATATTAAATAAAATGCATTCATTCTTCTTTCATCTCTTACCCTTTCCTTTCTCCTTAATCTCAAAAATGCATTCA